TCTAGTCTGATGTTGCTTCCTAATGAACCACTTCCCTAACTAGGAAGTCAGGATCTTAATTGGTTCAGCCTCAGGAATTCTCCTTTTTGCCCCTATTAAGTAGTTGATGGAGTCCTGCCTTAGCACTGTGGAATAAAGCACTGGGCTGCAAGGTCGCTTTGAACCACAAGGTTGGTAATTCAAACTCACAGCCACTTCTTGGAAACCCTATCTATATAGGTTTGCTATGAGGACCAAGAGGCAGTTGTTTGAACAGAACATGGGAACACAGGATGGTTTAAAATTAAGAAAGGTGTACAACAGGGTTGTATTCTTTCACCACACTTATTCAACCTGTATGCTGAGCAAATAATCCGAGAAGCTGGGTTATATGAAGAAAAATATGGTATCAGGATTGGAGGAAGATTCATTAACAACCTGCGATATGCAGATGATACAACCTTGCTTGCTGAAAGTGAAAAAGACTTAAAATATTTACTGATGAAGATCAAGAGCACAGCCTTAGTTATGGATTGCATCTCAATGTAAAGAAGACAAAAATCCTCACCACTGGACCAATAAACAACATTCTTATCAACAGAGAAAAGATTGAAGTTGTCAAGGACTTCATTCTTCTTGGATCAACTATCAACACTCATGGAAGCAGCAGTCAAGAAATCAAACAACAGATTGCATTAGGAAAATCTGCTGCACAAGACCTTTTTAAAGTGTTGAAAAGCAAAGATGTCAGCTTGAAGACTAAGGTGCGCCTGACCCAAGCCATGATATTTCAGTAACCTCATATGCATGTGAAAGTTGGACAGTAAATAAGGAAGGCCATAGAAGAATTGATGCATTTGAGTTATGGTGTTTGAGGAGAATATTGAAAGTGCCATGGGCTGCCCATAGAACCAACAGATCTGTGTTGGAAGAAGTGCAGCTAGAGTGTTCCTTGGAGGCCAAGATGGCCAAACGTCGTCTCTCATACTTCAGACATATTGTCAGGAGGGACCAGTCACTGGAGAAAGATATCATGTTTGGTAAGGTGGAGGGTCAGAGAAAAAGAAAGACCCCCAGCAAGATGGATTGGCCAAGTGGCAGCATCAGTGTGCTCAAGCGTGGCAACAATAGTGAGGTTGGCCCAGGATCGGGCAGTTTCCTTCTGCTGTGCTTAAGGTCACTATGAGTCAGTACTGACTCTATGGCACCTAACAACAACCAGATGATCAAACTTTTAAGCCCTTTCAAGTCTTGAGGCTTCCACACACCAGGAGAAAGGCTTTACCACCAATTTTGACCCCAGAAGCAATGGCATCCTCCTGTGCTCTCTACTACCCCTTCCCTGTGAAAATAAAATAAGCAGTACTTTCTAGTACAATGGTTCCCACCTCTGGCTAAACATTAGAAACACCTAGGTAGCTTTAAATATATACAAATGCCTAGAACCACAGATTCTAAGTTGACCTAGTAAAGCATCTGTTTCTTCTTAGCTTCCCCAAATGATTTTAATATTTGGGTGGAGAACTGTGTGACTCAACAGACCTGAAACTAAAGGATTTGTTTCCTCCACTTCTTGGCAGTTAAAAAATGAGGAGAGAGCCCCCAATAACTGTTGCTACAGCAATTAAACTACATTTTGCTGTGGTCAGAGATGTTATATATAGTACTGAAGGTTCAATTATTTTAAAAGTAAAATAGGTATGTAACAACTACCCCAGGAACCAAAGAAACTCTTACAATACATTCCTTTTCCTTTACAAGCTTTCAAGGAGGATCTTCCTGTACTTTGTTATTCTTAAAATGTTTCATTTTTTTTCAGAAGGCAAAGATTTAGTGAAACTATAATGGTGGACCTTTAATCTGATGGATTTTGGATTAGCTGTTTCCAGGCTCAGAGTTCTGGTGTGGCGCTGTGGGTTAATGCGCTGGACTGCAAAGTCAGTTTGAATCTCAGGGTCAATGTTTCAAACTCATCAGCCGCTCCTTGGAAACCCTATACAGGATCACTTTGAGTTGAAATCGACTCAACAGCATTTAACAGTTTCCAGGCTCAGTTTTGGAATTGGAAGGCAGTTGTAGTTCTCTGAGACTAGAGGAGGGGCTGAGGACACTGCTACAACAGGAAAACTGTCCTAGGAAGGAAGTGTGGGAAGGAAGCTCACTGTCTTGCTCTTCCTAGATTTATGCAGTGCAGCTTTTTCCCTCTTTTCTCCTAATTAAATTCACTATTGTTTTCATCGCTTTTGTTTTTAGATCGACCATAGAGTCAAAGAAGATATTGATTGTTAAACTTAGTGTAAAACCATCACTTAGAAATAGACAGGTACAACTAGATGGCAGTAATATTCAGGTACTATGGGGAAAAACCATAGAATTGATGCTTTTCAGTTATGGTGTTGGAAGAGAATACTGAAAGTACCATGGGCTGCCAAAAGAACCAACAGATCTGTATTGGAAGAAGTACAGCAATATTGCCCCTTGGAGGCCAAGATGGCCAAACTTCGTCTCTCATACTGCGGACATATTGTCAGAAGGGTCCAGTCGCTGGAGAAGGATATCATGTTTGGTAAGGTGGAGGGTCAGAGAAAAAGAGGAAGACCCCCAGCGAGACGGATTGGCAAAGTGGCAACATATATGAACTCAAGAGTGGCAACAGTAGTGAGGTTGGCCCAGGACCAGGCAGTGTTTCGTTCTGTTGTACATAGGGTCGCTATGAGTCGGTACTGACTTGATGGCACCTAACAACAACAAATAGGGAAGAAAAACCCTTGTCCCAAAAAACTGTCACTTGCTGCTTTCAGTTATTGGACTGGAAGCAACTGAAGAGACCATCTCCATATACTAACCTGTACAATGCACAAGCTTTAGAATATCTCATTTAGAGGTTTGTTGTTAAGTGCCAACTGCTAGCAGTCCAATACTTATCCTACAGAGCCACAGCACACCCCAGTTTAGAGGGTGGTGGCACGAAAACTACTGACATGGCACAAAAACCTTCATACAGTGCCTGGCCTACCTCTCTTTGGCAGCCATGGACCCAAACTCTCACTAAAGACTTTCGATGTTGGATTATTACAACTAGCATGAGATATTATTGCTTGTTTATTTCATACACGCATTTGCTAAAAATGTTAAGATTTTGGAAGGTCAGTCAGATGAAATGATTTGCTTTAAAAGGAAGTAACAAAAACTAAGAGAGGCCAAGTAATTTATACTTGGTAACAGCTGGAGTTTACAAAGCCAAGGTGTTTCATCTACCCCATAATCTATAAACTAAATAAAAGCCTACAAGATTCACAGGTGAGAAGTGAGAAATAAAGTTCAAGGGCTCAAAACTCAAAGTTCAGGGAGTAGAGAAGTCAAAAAACACCCTCCACCCTGCCTTCCCCTTTCTGCCAAGTCAACCCACATTAGTTTCTCTTTAACACCCTTTTGTGGACTCTGTCTCAAAAAAATGAGGGAAATTTGACTTTTCCCCAACAAGATGTCATTCACTTCCTACCCTGTTGTTAAGAGCCATTGAGTCAGTACTGACTCATAGAGACCCTATGCACAACAGAATGAAACACTGCCCCGTCCTGGGCCATCCTCACAATTGTTGCCATGCTTGAGCCCATTGATGCTGCCACTTTGCCAATCTATCTCGCTGGGGGCCTTCCTCTTTTTCTCTGACCCTCCACCTTACCAAACATGATTTACAGTTGTTGTTGTTGTTGTTAAGTGCCGTCGAGTCGGTTCCGACCCATAGCGACCCTGTACAGGGTTTCTGAGGGTGTAAATCCTTACGGGAGTAGAAAGCCTCATCTTTCTCCCGCGGAGCGGCTGGTAGTTTCGAACCGCTGACCTTAAGGTTCGCAGCCCGATTCGTAACCACTACACTACCAGAGTGGTTTCTCTTTATTTTGAGTTGTGCCCCATCAGCAAATGAAGGTTCCACGGACTTTATTCCATTCACATCATCACAGTCAACTCTACTTTGAGGAGGCAGCTCTTCCCCAGTCACATTCTGAGTACCTTCCAACCTGAGGGGCTCATTTTCTGGCACTGTATCTGACAGTGTTTCTCTGCTACTCATAAAGTTTTTAGTGACCATATATTTGGAAGTAGTTCGTCACTCCTTCTTCCTAGTCTGTTTTCTTCTGGAAGCTCACCTGAAACCTGTCCCTCTTGGGTGACCCTTCTGCTTCCCACCCTAAGTCCCAACAAATAGTCGTCAACTTGGCATAAGTACCCAACCCTCAAAGTGCTGTCCCTTTTCCTGTCCATGAACCTCTATGGAATTCAAACATACTGAGAAATTGGCTCCAACTCACTGCAATCCCATGCGTATCCGAACTGAGCTACAGAGTTTTCAATGGCTGATTTTTTTTAGAAGTAGATTGTCTGAAGTTTCTTCTCAGATATTTCTGGGCAAACTGAAATCTTCAACTTTTTTGCTAGCAAGAGCACATTATCTGTTTGCACCACCTAGGGACTGAGGCCCACCATTACTCCCCAAGTAAAATAAAGAAAGCTAATATATTTTTGATATTTTATTCATCATAGTAAACAAATTATAAAAATAAACATTCTCTGACTTTGGCATGCTTAGCAATGCAAAACCCAGACAGAAGGAGGCAGTGTTGATCCGTTTGAAGATTGTGTGTTCCTTCAAATCTGAATCTATTGTTATTCATGGCAACCCTGTATAGGGTTTCTAAGATGGACTGGTGGGTTTGAACTGCCTACCTCATGGTTATCAGTACAGTGCCTGTCCAATAGCACCACACCAGGTCTCAAACAGAGATTAGGGGAAAAGAAAAATACAAATTTATAGTACCAACGTATCACATTAAATGCAAATAATTCCAATAAACAGACTAGTTATACACAGAAACATTTTTTTAAAAGACAGCAAGTCACCATCAGATTACATGTAAAGCATGAAAGAAAATAGAAGTCAACAGTATTAAAAATATAGGGCAATGCAAGGTCCTTTGAGTCCCATCAATTTCAGAGAAGAACATGGGGAAACCATGAGGGGTCCTTAATCCACTTCCTCAATGGTAGGGCCAGATGTAGAGGTGCCACGGGGAGCCTGAGCCCCAAAGCCACCAGCCCCAGGGCCACCTGCCCCCTGGTACAGTCCGCTAATGATGGGGTTACACACCTGCTCCAGCTCCTTCCTCTTGTGCTCAAACTCATCCTTTTCGGCCAGCGTGTTGGCATCCAGCCAGGAGATCACCTCCTGGCACTTGTCTAGCACCTTCTTCTTGTCGGCCTCGCTGAGTTTACCCTTGAGCCCCTCGTCCTCCACAGCGCTCCTCATGTTGAAGGCGTAAGACTCCAGGGCGTTCTTGGCAGACACCCTCTCACGCTGCACCTCGTCCTCGGCTTTGTACTTCTCGGCGTCCTGCACCATGCGCTCGATCTCCTCCTTGCTCAGGCGGCCCTTGTCGTTGGTGATGGTGATCTTGTTGGCTTTGCCGGTACTCTTGTCAGTGGCCGTGACGTTGAGGATGCCATTGGCGTCGATGTCAAAGGTCACCTCGATCTGGGGCACGCCCCTGGGGGCAGGAGGGATGCCGCTCAGCTCGAAGCGACCCAGCAGGTTGTTGTCCCGGGTCATGGCCCTCTCGCCTTCGTACACCTGGATCAGCACCCCGGGCTGGTTGTCCGAGTAGGTGGTGAAGATCTGCGTCTGCTTGGTGGGGATGGTGGAGTTGCGCTTGATCAGGGCAGTCATCACGCCCCCCGCTGTCTCCAGCCCCAGTGACAGGGGAGCCACGTCCAGCAGCAGCAGGTCCTGCACATTCTCAGACTTGTCTCCCATCAGGATGGCTGCCTGCACCGCCGCACCGTAGGCCACCGCCTCGTCGGGGTTGATGCTCTTGTTGAGGTCGCGCCCATTGAAGAAGTCCTGCAGCAGCTTCTGCACCTTGGGGATGCGCGTGGAGCCCCCCACCAGGACCAGGTCGTGGATCTGTGCCTTGTCCAGCTTGGCGTCACGCAGCGCCTTCTCCACGGGCTCCAGGGTGCCTCTAAACAGGTCGGAGCACAGCTCCTCGAAGCGCGCCCTGGTGATGGACGTGTAAAAGTCAACGCCCTCAAACAGGGAGTCGATCTCCAGGCTGGCCTGGGTGCTGGACGACAGGGTCCTCTTGGCCCTCTCGCAGGCGGTGCGCAGCCGCCTCACAGCTCGCTTGTTCTGGCTGATGTCCTTCTTGTGCTTCCTCTTGAACTCCTCCACGAAGTGGCTCACCAGCCTGTTGTCAAAGTCCTCCCCACCCAGGTGGGTGTCCCCGGCTGTGGCCTTCACCTCGAAGATGCCGTCGTCGATCGTCAGGATGGACACGTCGAACGTGCCCCCGCCCAAGTCGAAGATGAGCACGTTGCGCTCGCCCTTGCCACTCCGGTCCAGGCCGTAGGCGATGGCGGCCGCCGTGGGCTCATTGATGATCCTCAGCACGTTCAGCCCCGCGATCACCCCCGCATCCTTGGTGGCCTGGCGCTGCGAGTCGTTGAAGTAGGCCGGCACGGTGATCACCGCGTTCGTCACCGGACAGCCCAGGTATGCCTCGGCTATCTCCTTCATCTTGGTCAGCACCATGGATGAGATCTCCTCGGGGTAGAAAGCCTTGGTCTCCCCCTTGTAGCTCACCTGCACCTTGGGCTTGTCGCCTTCGCTGATCACCTGGAAGGGCCAATGCTTCATGTCCGACTGCACCACCGCGTCGCCGAACTTGCGGCCGATCAGCCGCTTTGCGTCGAACACCGTGTTCTGCGGGTTCAGCGCCACCTGGTTCTTGGCCGCGTCCCCGATGAGTCGCTCGGTGTCGGTGAAGGCCACGTAGCTGGGGGTTGTGCGGTTGCCCTGGTCGTTGGCGATGATCTCCACCTTGCCGTGCTGGAACACCCCCACGCAAGAGTAGGTGGTGCCCAGGTCGATGCCGATGGCCGTGCTTTTAGCCATGTCGGACTGCTGCTCTTACTCTGCGCTGAAGTTCAAGCCTGGAAACGGCTGGCGAAAGCCGCGACGAGAAGAACTGCTGCTCTTACTCTGCGCTGAAGTTCAAGCCTGGAAACGGCTGGCGAAAGCCGCGACGAGAAGAACTGCTGCTCTTACTCTGCGCTGAAGTTCAAGCCTGGAAACGGCTGGCGAAAGCCGCGACGAGAAGCGCTGTCTCTTCGGAAAGCTAGAGTTTGTCTCTTCGGAAAGCTGGAGCCTGGATGCGCTGGAACCACCAGGATCACTCTTGGAGGTTGTGGTTCTGCGGGAGTTGCGCTCGGGGAAAAAGCGAACAGCTTCTTTCACTCTCTCCTAGAGAGGCTGTTTGTCTGCTGTTCAGGCTTCTGTATTTGTATGTTACAATGGAGCTCCGCCTTTTCCCTCCTGAGCCAATCATCGTGATTAGGGAGGTTGCCAGGTCTGGACTATTCTAGGAGTTTCACCTCACGTCCTGCCCCCAAGCTTCTTTGAACCAATCAGCGTCCGGGAACCGCCCGTCCCCAGAACTCTCCAGACTCTTCTCGGATACACTGGAAAGGGTGAGAGTTAGGAGCAGAGGCGGTACAGAGGGCGTTTGCTGGCTGTGACTACCCAAAGTCGGGCTGCAAGGCAATGTTGGCGTCAGCCTTTTAGCCAGTTTGTACTTGACTGAAAGGGACAGTATTTGACCTGTAATTGCGAGGCTCTGGGATTCAAACTAGTTTGGTAGTTTAAGGTAGAATTAATTGGTGGGTGGGGGCTTATGGAGATACACGACCCCCCTATCGCCATGCCAAGAAGTTTGAGTTTCTAGAAGGAGGCGGGACATTGGTTAGCTAGAGAGACTCTGGTTACACTATGGTGATGGGGGGTAGCGGCTGTGTTCCCCCTGGCGGCCCAGGCTGCCGCCAGAGGAATGGCGTTCTCCGCCCTACCCCCACCCTGTGTTGATTTAAAAAGGGAACTCAAAGGAAAGGGGTGATGCAATACATTTTTTTTAAATTAAGGTCAAATTTTATATAACAAAACATTTGCCAAGTCAACATTTTGTATATATATAAAATTCAGTGGCAGGAACAACCATTAGTACCACCTATTTCTAAATTTTTCCTTTACTGTCTACAGAAACGTGTGCCCCGTATTTCCTCTTTCCCCATTCTGCCCACACCTGGTAACGGACTACTAATTTTGGTCTCTCTATATATACCTATTCTAGGTATTTCATAAAAATGGGATCATATAATATTGGTCTTTTGTGATTTTATTTTATTTTTACTCAGCATAATAATTTTAAGATTCTTCTGTCTGGTGGTGCAGTGATAAAACGCTTAGCTGAAAACCAATATATCGGTGGTTCCAATCCAGCAGCCGATCCTAGGGAGAAAGATGGAAACAGTCAGCTTCAGTAAAGATTTGTATCCTTGAAAACTTTGGGGGACAGTTCTGCTTTATCTTATAGGGTTGCTCTGAATTGGCATAGACTCTGGAGCAACTGTATTATGTTGTAGCATGTATCAGGATCTGTACAGCTCTTAATATCATCTTTAACCTGTACAGACAGAAAATGTGAGCCTAGGAAGGATTGTGACTTTTCAACTGAAAAGCAAGTAGGTAAAAAGACTATTCTAGAACAGGACAAAGTCCTATCTTTGGCAGACAGCCAGGTTGGGTGTGAAGGGCAGGACTTAATCCTGCTTTCTGCCCCACCTCCAGCCTCTCCCTTTTTCCTTGGGCGCAGCCTCAACTTTGGTTAGAGAAAAAAAATTCCATAGTAAGTAGGAAGGCTTGAAGGCCTTTTCAGACTTCTCCCTTTCTCTCAGTCTGGAGATCGGATTACCCTTCTCTCATTGTTGTCTCCTGACTTAGTCTTAGATGGTGAACAGTACCAGGGTCCTCTTTGGAGGTCTAATAAGTAATTCCTCTTGGTCCATCACCTTAAGATTAAATGTAATGGGAAGGCGGGTCTATGTTCATTCCTTCATGATAACACACATGCCACAGCAAGTGGAAAGGTGACCCACTTAAGGCAAAGTCCTGTGGGGTGAGGCTATACAGGTTAGGGATTGGCCACACTCCAGATTCTAGTTCTCTATTACCTGTGAACTTAATTTATGCACTTAGTATTTTAGCCTAGATTCCACCTTCCAGTACATTTCTCTCTCCTGTTTTAAATACAATTACATTTGGTCATTTCTTTTGGCCTTTCTTCTTCATTCTTTGTGAGAATGTCAAATGGTGCTAGAAATGAACTATGAGGGACATTAAAACAACAATTTCACAGGCTACAAAAAAATAGATGCTTTATCTTATCCACATGTGTTGTGCCAGAAAACATAAGTTGGGGGAGGTAGTTTTGGAAGGAGAGAGGAAATTCTGCCTTTGATCTCGACTTGCTTAGCATTCTTTTACACAAACACAACTGTACACTATCAAAACATCTCTTCCTGAAGGCCAAAGTATTCAGTTGCTTATTATATATTTTGCTCAGCCTGATCTAAACTGATGTTGCGAAGAAATTGCTTTAACAATCCTCTGTGTGTGTGTGTGCAGATAAGCAATAATGTTTACATTCAAATTTGGGTCCCTGATGAATCACCTCCTAACCTAGTCAAACTAGTCAAACTATAGGAATTTTCCATTTCTCCTTATGCAGCCTGTTGGTGGGGATTGCCCAAATTCTATTCCAGCTCCCTATAGTAACACTTTTAAAGGCATTAACTTCATACTCTTTCTGGAAGCCCCCTCACTACCAGCTCTACCAGTGAGAATCCAGCATTCATTCCTTTTTTCCCTCCAAATCTTCAATTTAGGATACAGGAGCTATTGGCTTGGTGCTAAGGGAGTCACTGTTTCTCAACTGCAGGTAACAATGGTGATAGGGTCCCAGATCTTCCTTCCACAGCAAACAACCAAAAAAATAGTCACAGGAAATTGTTTTTTTCACCCCAGAAATCAACTACCCATTGTAACCAGAATATATAGTACTATAGTTGACCAACATTTTGGGTTAAGTCTCTCTTTGTGTATTAGCCTAAATACCTTCTATATTACTTTTCCTAATAAGTAGAGTTGTAGGTAGCGTAGTGGTTACGAATCGGGCTGCGAACCTAAAGGTCAGCGGTTCGAAACTACCAGCCGCTCCGTGGGAGAAAGATGAGGCTTTCTACTCCCGTAAGGATTTACACCCTCGGAAACCCTGTACAGGGTCGCTATGGGTCGGAACCGACTCGACGGCACTTAACAACAACAACAACAAGAGTTGTAGGACAAGTAATGGACCACAAAGTCAGTTGGAACTGTAAGGTCAGCAGTTCAACCCACCAGCCAGCCACTCCTCAGAAACCCTATATGGGTCTCTATGAGTCGAAACTGACTCTGTGGCCCTTAACATGGTTATAGGACTCATGGTGTGGCACTGTAGGATAAACACTGGACTGTAAACTACAAAGTTGGCAGTTCAAACCCATCAGCTGCCCCTCGGAAACCCTGTACAGGATCACGATGAGTTGGAATCAACTCAACTGCACTTAATAACACGTGGTTATAGGAGTCCTGGTGTGGTGCTGTAAAATAAAACACCAGACTGCTAACCACAAGGTCAGCAGTTCAAACCCACCAGCTATTCCTCTGAAACCCTATGTTGTTGTTAAGTGCCGTGGAGTCAGTTCCGACTCATAGTGACCCTGCACGGGTTTCTGAGGCTGTAAATCTTTGCGGGAGCAGAACGCCTCATCTTTCTCTTGCGGAACCGCTGGTAGTTTCAAACTGCTGACCTTGAGGTTAGCAGCCTGATGATTCATAACCACTGCGCTACCAGAGCTCCTTTACAAGGTCTTTTTTTTAGGACCCAATTGTCTTTATTATGTTAACAAGGCATTATTAGTGTAGTGTGTGTCAATCTCCTGAGTCAATGTTTAAAAAAAAAATACACTTTTTATTGTGAATTGGGAGAAGGTTTACAGAGCAAACAGTTTTCCATTCAGTGATTCATATATCTTTTATTTCATGTCGTTAATTGCAGTTGCCATAGTGTAACATCAGTTATCCCACCTTCTTCCTGTTTTTACCATTTCCACTCCTGTCCTAGCCTTTCTTTCTTTCTGAACTTTGTCCTTGGGCAAATGCTGCCCTTTTGATCACAAATGATTAATTATTCTAAGGTGTGCATACCTCCCTCCTGCTATTCTTCATATTATGTTGTTGTTGTGAAGTGCCATTGAGTCAGTTCTGACCATAGTGACCCTGTATAGGGTTCCCAAGGAGCAGCTGGTGAGCTTGAACCGCCAACCTTGCAGTTCAAACAGCTTTGCAGTCTGGCGCATTAACCCACAGCGCCACACCAGGACACCTAGTCATATTATAGTATACTATAATCAGTATATAATATATACAACAACAGTATATAATATATAACAACAACAACATATAGTATAGTGTATACTATATAGTACAATATAGTATAATATATAATATCTAATGTAGTATAGTATAGTCTGTTGTTTGACTGAAAATTGAGGAGTCAATCTCTTTTGATATATAAAAGAGATTAAACAAATAAGCTAAGTAGACATGGGAGGGAGGGAATGCAAATCCACATGAAGATTGTTTAGGAGCAAAAGCTCAAAAGAGACAATGACCTGCCTCCAAAGCCAACAGAGAAAGAAATCTTTCCTCTAGAGTCAGTACCCTCAATTTGAACTTCTAGCATCCTAAACTGTAAGAAAATAAAGTTGTTTGTTAAAACCATCCACATAGAACTTCCAAAAAGATGGCAAACCAGGCAGATGCACTACCTCTTGGGAAAAGAGCAACTTAGGAAAAAGGAAACGTTACCAACAAAGGACAATCAATAAGACTAAGCTCTGATTTCTCAGCAGAAACCAGGCAGGCAAGAAGGCAACAGGATGACATGTACAAACCCTAAAAAGAAAAAGATTGCCAGCCAAAAATCATACACCCAACAAAGCTATCCCTCAAATATGGCAAAATTAGGACATTACCTG